TATTTACGCGCTCTTCGTCAACGGTAGTCTGCCTGCCTGCACTACTCGCCAATTTTGAACGCGCACTCTTCCAGCCGTGAATCAATTTCCTTGGTTGGCGGACACGCTCGGCCCGTTGTATGTTGACAGTCTGTACATTTCGCCAACTACCGTATTATTAGCGGAGAGTGCGATGACGGCAGCGGGATGTTTCTTTTGACCGTGGTTTACGCTGACCGCGGCAATCTTTTGCATCGCGCTTGATTTGATTCGAGGCGACCTGGGGTTGGACACAATCATGGCCAAGCGCATCAAGTCGTTGGCGCCAGTTCCGGTAGCCACCTTGAGCGAGGATGGGCAAGGCCCCGCGATACAGCCCCGCAACACCGGAATTGATGCCCGCGACGGCATATTTGATGCCTCTTGCATAGCCGGCTCTTGTTAGACGAGGGCGTTGCTGGGAAGGGATGGATGTGCAGGTGTGAGTCGAGGAAACAAGGCTGCTGCCACGCCTACGAGTTTTGTGCGACATGCTCCGCTCACAATGGAATCGGACGGACATTCTGAGACATTAGCCCAGTGTGAGCATAACATCACCATTTGCCTCATGGCAAGCCTCCTCCTCAAACTGTTGCTCCTCTAAAAAAAACGCCGTCTAATGCCATATTTCAAGTATGCTAAATGCCGATATCGCCGCCCATAACCAGCCCAGTGCATCGCTGTAGAATCCGCCACAAACGCCGTGCAAGCATCCTTACAATACCATCCTCAGTGCCTGGTGGCCAAGCATACTAACCAGCACCCCCACGCCATATGGTCCGGTTTGATCTGATTGCCCACTCCACACCTCGGATCCAACCCAGCAAATGGCCGCCAGTTCTGCGGCGCCGAGAGCCGATAATATGTAGGCTGCTGGTCCGGGCATCCTGTTGCCAAGCGTATAGCTTGTGTCTCCAGTCCTGCGGAGAGCTATGACGCCAGCCACAAAGAGGGTTGTGAGACGCACTTCCCACGCATACGGCACATTTGCAAACATGGTCAGCAGCCATGCTGACAACAAGACCGTTAGAACGGTTGGTTCGGGGCTGGGCTTGGCGCTAGTTTGGGGCATGCTTTTAGCCGGTGCGGTTGAGCCGCTTTGTTCTGCCGCAGTCTCGGCGTCTTCTTCTTGTTGGTCCTGTCCCAGTGTGAAGCTCTGGCTGAGCAAGTCTGCCAGGGAGCTAGCATCGTGGTCTTTCTGCGGGGCGAAAAACCTGGGTTGCTTGAACTCAACGCCGCCATTCGTGTCGCTGCCGAGGGTGGTTTGAGACGAGGTCGGCGGATGGTCCCGTCTTGTAAACATGACTTTGCCAGTTTCTGCAGGTTCATGCTTCGTTGGGGCCGGTGACCATTGGGGATTTCGCAGTCGTTGAGCCGGATTCACAGGGGCCGCTGGAACCTTGCACCAGAAAGGGTTCTTTGCCTCTGGCGATGACAGACGTTCATCATTCGTCCGCCCAAACTTGCTCGTCAAAGGCGTCGCGTTGTCGTTGAGAGCTCGGTGCGGTGATCTAATCGGCGACCAGTCCATTTCTTCATCATACTGCAGTTGCTCCGTCCGCTTTGTGGGGGTCTCAGCTGGTCTCACGCCACCAAAGACTAGCCGCCGACTGGTCTGGGGTCGCGGAGGGCTGAATGGTGATTGAGGAGACGGGGCCTGGTCGGTCATGGTCGACTTTTGCGGTGTTGCGCTTGCGGAATCAAGCGCATCATTGACTAGTTCAGAGAAGGTTTTGGAATCATCCTGTTTTCTCTGCTTGGGCGACTTCGCTTCCTTCGGTACCAGCGGTCTGTCTTCTGTCGCAAACAAGGGCGAGGTATCTACACGAATAGATCTACCTGCCAACACGTGGATCTGCCCTTGTTAGTAAAATATCACACGACCCGCGGCCAGACAACTCACCACGGTCATGACCAGCGCCATGGCTACATGGGCGCTTAGTTTGGCTGTGCCAGAGCCTGCGGTTTGCGCATTCGCATCAACCACGCCGCGGAAGATGAACCGAAAGAATATGGTCAATCCCTGGAACGAGTACCACTGGGTAAATCCCAGCAGGTGCCTGGTAAATCCTCGATTCACCTGCACGAAATGCGGGTTCCACCACACCGCCAGGATAGCAGTCCAAATGCTCCATTGAATCAAGGTAGCCGCACTGGGAACAAGGCCAATAGCTAGCTTGAGCCATGACATAGCCGTGGCATATACACTCTGATCGTCGGGATCATACATGCCATCATTGCTCTGCTGCAGTGCCTGCGTGATCATAACAAAATGCCACAACAATTGCAAAAGGAAACTCGTTCGCCACAAGGTTTTCCCCAGCGTGTTTACCCAATCAAGCGGTGTCCTCCTCCTGGTCCTCCGGCCCCGGCTCAAACTCATCATACGCCGTAAATGGTCAGTCTTGGCGGTGTAACCAGCTTGGCGTATTCTCTCCTCGACGCGTTCGGCGCAATCGCTACATACTTGCGGGTATCGTTTCTCGAGGTTCCGTCGGTAGCGGTAGTAGTTGCGCTCGAGCTCGGGGTAGTCGGGGTCTGAAGGGTCATCAGGGAAGTACTGGGCCAGTGACTTTGTGAACAAGTGCTGGTTCTTGAGGCATGTTTGGCAGAAAATGTCGTCCGTTTGAGAAGGCGAGGGAGATTGCGGTGCGGCGTATTGGACGGCCGCTGCTTCATGCTCGGTTGCGACAGGGGGGTCTGTGATTTCGCCATTCTATCAAGGTCAGCAGCATATACGACACGAAAGGGGGGCCAGGCTTCGCCAGCTATCGTGTGCCATCATTGGGTACAGCGCACACCTCATCTAGATAGTTGGTTGCATCGCAATGCAAGCACAGAAAGTCGCGAGATGTGCCGTCAAACTTGATGCCCGGTCGCTTCCCACAGTAGAAGCAGGTCAGGAACTTTGCACGCCCAAAGCGCGCCATGGTGGCATGTCTGGTACGAGAACAAGGTGCGCGCAGGAGCCAAGAGTCGTTAGAAATGTGTCAAGGCCAAGGTCTACGACGTAGGTCAAGCTGGGAGAGACGGTTTCTGAGATTTTGCCAAGGCGGTGAGAAGAATGTTGTGGACTAGTGGTGTCGCAGAACAGGACGGCGTACGGAGTACTTGCATTGTGGCCCCAGCGCTGCTGCCGACATCCATCGCGCTTGTGCGGAGCGTTGACGCGGCTACAGCTAGCGGCGTCTATTTGGCCATCTATTACCAACATCACCACTTCAGAATGCGCCTCTCTTCCTCCCGCGCCTGCTTGCCGCTTGACACCAAGAATTACTTGACTTTGAATTAATTTTTAATTAATCAATACCTGAGACTAGCACAAATTAATCCACTCTATCTACTGCGTCTAGAATACCCATACGTCATGAACCGCGCGCCATCCTCAAAACATGACTACCAGAGAAACGCAACGTCTATAAACACGCTGAAACGACAAATGCCCAATACCCGCTATACATCCTGCTCCATAAACCTCCTCACCAGCAAATTAAACCGCGTATTCTTCCTCCTCACCACCTCCGGATTCAATCTCCACAGGTACCTCTCCCGCGCTGCCTGGCTCCAAGCATGATAGGCCAACTGGCCGTGGAACAGCGCGCCCCCGTTCCTCTCAATCTCGCGCTCCCAATGCTCCGTCTCCTCCTCGCCGAGCTCCTCGTGCATCCAATCGACGTGCCTCCACGTCCAGGTCGGCCAGAAGAAGGCGCCCGGCGACAAGGCGCACAGCGCGCCCGGCTTCTTGGCCGCCAGCTCCTTGGGCAGCATGACGCTCTTGGAGGGGCTTTGGAGCCGCACCGGGCCGTGTATGTACTCCTCCAGCCAGTCGTTGATAAAGGTGCTGTTTCGGCGGGCGACCATGACGGCGTTGCGCATGCCGTACCGGTTGCCGCCCTCGTAGCCCAGCACCGCGTCGTGAGAGCCGGCCGGGTGGAGGAGGCTCGCAAACGGCCGGAGGGCGAAGGAGTCGGCGTCGAGAAATATGCCGCCGTTGTCGAGCAGGATCTGCAGGCGCATCAGGTCTTCTATGCGGTGCATGGACTCGCCGTACGGGTTCTCGATTTTGTGTTCCACGAGACGCACGTCGGCGCGGAGACGTCGGATCCACGGGTTTGTGACGGGGTGCAGCTTGGAGTTGACCGAGTTGCCGGACGACGAGAGAATGGCGTAGTGGAGCTGAATTTCGTCGGGGCGGAGGGATATCTTGGCGCTGCGCACGGCGAGGTAGTTTACAAAGTCGAATTGAATGCCGCGGGCTTGGGCGAGCGGTTCTTTGAATATGTACAGGAAGTGCACGACGTTGGGGATATCGTGCGGGTTGGAGGTGTTTGAAGACTTGGCCGAGCCATGGAGACAGGCCAACTCCTGCTTGGTCGGGGTGAAGGGCTGCTCGATCTGGCGCTGTGCCGACCACGGGTGTGTCTGGCGTGCGTACTCGATGAATTCGTAAAGGGCGGGTTGGAAATAATGCGCAAGGAGGATCAAGATGGTGATGGCGGATACGAGGGGCACGCTCCGGTACGCTTTTCGGAGGAGCGGCCTTGCCCTCCGCGGAGAGACAACTTGTTTGAGGAGCATTGTAGATGCAAAGGACAAGATATCAAGCGAATGGCATCTTGAGGAACGGAGGGAGATCACGAAGCACAGAATAGGGGTCGAGAGTTGAGCCAGCTTCGATTTCCGGTGAGGGCAACGTCCGACCGCACCAACTCGGTTGCATAGGCGGCAGTCCAGAACAACGGGCACGGGGGCCAAAAACGTCGCTATGTCTTGGATCGGATTGCGCACTGACATGGAAAGCGGGCGGCCTGCTCGGCTCTCTGCCCGGCATACATTGAGTCCTACTACTACTAACCATGTCTCGGTTTCTGGTTCTGGTGCGGGAGAAGATGCGACCCAAGTCGGATTGTACAGTACCCGGCAGCGTAGTTGGCTGCCAACGAGCGACCAGACTGTTCCTTGTTCCAGTTTCGTTTCCAAATATGTCTCATCCTGTGGGCACTGTCGGCGCTTTTGTGAGCTGGTGGCTTAACATCTTGGCTCCCGCGCTCGTCGGCCAATCACAGGCCCCTCTCGACGTCACCCCATCTCACTCACTCGCGCTCTCACCTCCGACTTCAACCTCACCATCACAGCATCAATCTCACCACTCTCGCCATCACTCTCGCAGACTCAACGCGGCCTCCACCCTCGCGCCACACGCCCAACCCACGAAATGCCGCCATGACAACCGCCGCGCGCATCCACCCGCTCCTCCTCACCATCCGCTTCTCCGCCTCCATCCCCGACCTGGACCTCGACATCCCATCCCCGCAAACCACCACCGTCCTCGCCCTCAAGCACCTCCTCCGCACCCGTCTCGCCACCCGCAACCCCTCCGCCTCATCTACCAGGGCCGCCTCCTCCCGGACTCGTCGGCGCTCAGCTCCGTCCTCAAGCCGCCGCCTCCCCCGCCGCCGCAGCCACCATCATCATCATCCAGCACCAGCGCCAAGGCCAAGGGCAAAGCCGTCGACGGCGCCCCCGCCAGGGTATACGTCAACTGCTCCATCGGCGATGAGCTCGCCGCCCAGGAACTCGCCGCCGAGGAGGCCTCGGCCGCCAACCCGCCGCAGGAGGCGGGCCCGGAGCCGCCCACCAACCCGGCTGGGCGCACGCGGCCCCGGCCCAGGGGGTTCGACCGCCTGCTCCAGGCCGGCTTCACGTCGTCCGAGATCTCCACCCTGCGCACGCAGTTCGCGTCCATCCAGACGGAGAGGTTTACGCCCGACTCGGTGCCCTCGCCCGACGGCATGAGGCGCCTCGAAGACGCGTGGATCGACACCAACGCCGGCGAGCTGCCGAGCGCCGCGAGCCCGCTCGAGGACGAGCTGAGCAACATGTCCACCGTGCTGGACGTGCTCATCCGCGGCATGATGATTGGCTTCTTCTTCCCGCTGGGGAGCATCACGTGGTTGTTGAGGCAGGGCCTTTGGAGCGAGAAGTGGCAGATCTTTGTGGGCTCCGGCGTCGTTTTGAGCGTCACGGTGGGCATAGTCATGGGTATATCGGGGGAGAGGTAGCATGGCGTATTGGGTTTATTTTTAGGGGGAAAAATATTGACTAGGGCAAGTTCCGTTGAGGGTACTGAAATTGAGCTTTGCAGCACCGTCAACATTGGGCTTCCCACAGTCCGGGGCCTGCATGTCCATTGTGCTTGTTTTCAGAATACACCTCTGCTGTCTGGTTATCCCGCCGCGGTGTGGTGATGCAGCAAAACGCGGCCAACTGTCCGACAACTACGTCCTGTTCCGCACGCATGATCGAGTTGTAACGTGGCCAGCCAAATCAAAGCCCAGTCGCAACAAATGCCGTGGCATCGAGGGTCCGTAGGCCAGGCCCTCGGTGCAGTTGAGGGCTCCTTGCCAGTGGATGATCCTCGCCCAGCGCTACTCTCCATGGAGCGTGTAGCGGAAGTCGACGGCACCACCAGAACCTTGATTGGCAAACTGGAATGGTTTCCAGTAAACAGTGCAGTGTCGAACCGCAGACTCTGTGTCTTTTGTCGTGAAACATCTGGTATCGATGTTTTCCAATCCTCAAAGACGGCGCTCTTTTCCATGGCGTGCGGTGGCACGAGCCTCCAATTCGTCTGCAAGCTCCGATTGCAGTCATCCTTTCAGGTCTACAGAGTCAGTGATTAATCTAGGAGGCTTGGCGGGAAGTGACGCAGTGGTCTTCTATACGGTATCTTGAGAAGGGGCATTACTCGACGCAAATCTTGGTCTGTAAAGTCTTTACAACGACGATATGGAGGAGCCAATCTAGTTGCAATCCGCTCATTCATTCTTTGTTATGCGAAGGCGTTTGGGGCCCCAATTTGTGTCTTTGCTCGCCATGATGACACTCTGGGAGTTCAAATCTTGACAAGCGGGCCTCCGTGCGCCCTCATTGAGCCAGGCTGGCGTTATACCTGTAGCTCTTATATCTCCCATAGCTTATTTAATAACTTGCCCTCCGGGGCCTTACCAGGGGACCTTCCGCCTGCGGCACTACTTCATGAAGTTGTCGTTAGATTGAACATGTGTGAGACTGCTAAAGGTCAAGTGGCTCCTGTAGAGGATGACCATGATCGAAAAAATACGTCCCGACATCAACATTTAAGCCAAATACTAATTTCAGGTCCTCTAGGCCAATCAGTCAAGATCAAACTAAACGAGACCCCTAACAATGGGTGACGCAATTCGTGGACTCTCAAAGAAGCAAAACCAAGGCTCTTCCACAGCTTCACTTAACAAGCACACCACACGGCAAGAATGCCGCATTATATTCCAATAACTACAACTAATCGAGCCAAATGCCCCTCTTTTACACTCCAAAACTCCAGTCCAATGCCTACGCCTACTATAAACAAGGCCGAGAATGTTTAAAGGTACAAGCTCTGCGCAGCCACAATGTCCCTCCTAATCTTCTGCAAGCTCTCATCAAACTTCTTCACAAGATCCTCATTGCCCATGACCTTGGCTGCCTCCCCCATCTGACGCAGCAATTCTTCCAGTCGCCGGAAGAGACGAATCAGCGAGCCTTCGTAGGTTTTTGTCATTTTGCTACGGGATATTAGCTTTGTATTTGTGAAAAAGAAGAAGAAAAAGAAAAAAACGTACCAAATCTCGATAAACGGCCTGCCCTGAGCCCAGGCGTAGACCGTCTCCATCAACTGCCACTTGAGACTCGTCACGTATTCCTCCTCGTTGACATCGAGCTTGCACTCCTGGCTGACCTTGGCAATGATGCGCGCCTTGGCCTGGATCTCGCGGTACGGCTTCTGCAGGTCCTCCTTGAGAGCTTGCGTCTCCACCTTTTCGTCAAAGATGAAGCAGCTGAGGACGGCGGCGCACGTCTCGGGGGTCAGTTCGTTGAAGAAGCGGTCAAACAGGAGCTCCGAGAGCAGCAGCTCGTGGCCCTCGGTGGACGAGATTTCGCAGGCAACGCGCGCCTTGAGCTGCACCACTTCCGACTCGTTGATGAAACCTAGTCTGCGGAGAACACGCTTGCGCGACTTGAGTTCGTCCATTTGCGCGATACTATGAGCTTTGGAAATGGCCTTCTTCTTCTCCTTGACTTTCTCTATGAGCTGCACCTTTTCGCTGTACTGGTCCCAGAGGGACGGGAGCATGGGCGACATGTGCAAGGGGTTGGCGAGGAGTCGGGACTCGAGCACCTCAATCTTGCGCAGCAGTTTCTTAAACGAGTCGTCGACAATCTCCATGTTCTCCAGCGGGTCCAAAATGGGGATGCCGTCGGTGAACCGGCGCTTAACCTCTGCCAATGACTTGCGTGCTTGGTCTTTGTCCGCATCGGCCTTCAGGCCATCCTTGGGCATGAAGATGCGGATCTGACTGATGGCTTTCATGCACGTAAGTAGGCAGGGTATTACCACATTGATTGTAGCAGTGTCTGCGGTGTCTGCGCCAGCAGGTTTGAGGCCAGGCGGCATGGCTCCAGTCGGCTGGCCAGGAGTAATGTCGGCACTTGATGCCGAAATAGGTAGCATAACATCAATGATGTGCGATTCCTGCGGTTCCCACTCGGGTTCACCGAGTCTGGGCGCCCGTCGAGGATAGTGATTGACGATGACACCCCATCCAAAGTCGAGGCCTCCTGTAACGTTATCATGAGCTTCCTTGGGGTTGTATATCTGCACCAGGCGTCCTGGCTGAAGAAACTCTATGCAGTGGGTGGGCTGCTGGATGACGGCCCGCATGTCTTCAGTATACGAGTTGAGTTGCTGTCGAATCTGGTAGTAATCCTTGATTGTCGCCTCGTCGGGTATGGAGAGTCCGTCTCGCTCTTGTTGCAGCGACATCAGTTCCTTCTCCAACGAGGGGACGCTGGCGGCATTCTGGAACTGATGGAAGCACCTTTCAAGCATAAATTCGGGTGAAATCGCCTCAATTCGCAGCAGGTTGAGAATCATGTTGTATCCTAGGTAAAATGCGGAATTGAGCTTATCCTGGTGACCCGTCACAATACCCTTGGCGGTATCCGGTTCAAGCTTGTCGTCAATCATCATGATGACCACACCACGAGCATCGAGACCACGACGTCCAGCACGACCCGCCATCTGAATGTACTCGGACGACGTGATAGGCCGTCTCTTGACACCGTCCCATTTGGTGACTTGGGTGAAGACGACCGTTTTGGCAGGCATGTTTAATCCAATGGAGAAGGTCTCAGTGGCAACGAGAACTTTAAGAAGAGACTCTTGAAACAAAATCTCAATGGTTTCCTTTAGAATCGGCAGCAAACCTGAGTGATGCACGCCAACGCCTCGCTCCAGAAGAGGAAGCAAGTTCTTGATTTGAGGCAGTTCTCGATCTTGCTCCGACAAACTCTCAATGGCGCTGTGAAAAACCTTCCTCACCATGGCCTTTTCGGAATCGTCATTGAACGACAGGCTGGAAATATTCAAGGCCATATTCTCGCACTCTGCCTTGCTGAAATTGAACACAATGACAGGGTTAAACTTCTTCTTGATGGTCATACGAATGATCTTGTGTATGTCGGAACCTTCGTCCACACCGCCCTTGTTGATCTTCTTGTTCTTGCCCTTGCCCCTTTGCTTCGCGTTGATGTCATTGGAGCCGGCACCCTTCTTATCCTCAATCTCTTTCATAACGAGATTAAAGTTGTGCTCATTAAAGTTGCCCTTCTCATCGACCACAATTCGCGCGCCCTTGCCGCCAGAGGGGTAAAAGTAATTCTGCAGAGGCGTGGGTCGGAAGTCTGTGTAAACGACGTGGCAAGCCTGGTGATGAATCTTGGCAATCCACTCGGCAAACTGAAAGGCGTTGGGGATGGTGGCGGACAAAAAGACGTATCGGACCTTGTCGGGAAGCATGATTATGGTCTCCTCCCACACAACACCTCGAGTCTTGTCTCGCATATAGTGAATCTCGTCGAAAACAACCCAGGCGACTTCTCGCATAATCTCTGAGCCACGGTATAACATGGATCGCAGAATTTCAGTAGTCATGACCAAGCAGCTCGCCGTGGGGTTGATTGTAACATCACCAGTCATCAGACCGACATCTCCAAAGATTGCCTCGAAATCTCTATATTTTTGATTGCTAAGCGCCTTGATGGGACTGGTGTAGATGACTCGCTGGTTGCGCTTCAAACATTGCGCCACGGCGTATTCAGCAACAACTGTTTTGCCAGCAGAAGTGTGAGCCGACACAAGAATACTTTCATCCCGTTCAATTGACGCCACCGACAAGCTTTGGAAAGGGTCCAGCTTGAAATTCCATGTTCTCGCAGGCTCGTCAGGCGACTTGTGCTCCGACAGGGGAACGTATTCGTAGTCCAGATCGGGTGGCAAAGCAACTTGGTGCTGAATGTTATGCGACAAAACCAAGGACGAATCCTGCGGTATCAGAGTTGCCGCACCAGCGACTTCTCTTGACGTGGCTGTTTGAAACGTATCCGTCATAACAGGCCCGGTACCATCCTCCTTCTTTCGTCTCTTTTTGTCTTGTTGGCTGGGGGTATCTGAATCCTCCTCCTCGGACTCCTCCGCCTTGGATACCTCGGTGGCGTCGCCCATATCACCATCATCGCCTTCCTTTGGGGTTTCCACAGCCGCAGTGCCATTCATGGCCTCATCCGCCTTGCGCTTCTTGCTCTTGTCGCGGGCTCGAGACGTTTGAAACTCTCTTTCGGAATCGCTAGCGCTCTGGGCTCCGGCCTGGCCGTCAAAAACATCAAACAACTCATCCATGGCGGGCGGCGGTCTTGTCTCGCATCTATGGACGGTTTGAGTGCAGTATTGGGCAATAGCAGCCCTTGCAGGTGCCGGTGAAAGGATGAAGAAGGGGACAAAGATCCCAAAATATAATGCAAACAATTACAGCGCTCCAAGGTAATAATTGGCCGCCGAAATACGCAAATGCATTTACGCAACGAAAATGCGAAATCAGAAAAGGCAGAGCGTTCGGCAAATCAGCGATTAAACTTGAAATCTTCCACCGTCTAAACCATGTGGGCTGGGCAGTTTAGCTGGCAGAAAAGAAAAATTCCTGGG